GGCGCTGGCGCTGCTGCTGCTGCTGCTGCCCGCCTGCTGTCCCGTGCGAGCGCAGAACGACACGGAGCCCATCGTGCTGGAGGGCAAGTGCCTGGTGGTGTGCGACTCGAGTCCGTCGGCGGACGGCGCTGTCACCTCCTCCCTGGGCATCTCCGTGCGCTCCGGTAGCGCCAAGGAGGCCTTCTCGGCCACGCGGAGCACCAACCACGAGCCGTCCGAAATGAGCAACCGCACCATGACCATTTACTTCGACCAGGTCAGCCGGCCGGCCTGCCCGCCCTGCCGTCCCCGGGGAGGAGAGGGGGCTCGGGGGCGCGGGCTGGGGGTCCCCGGCTTCTTGGACGTGGAGTTCCCAAGTTCTCTCCTCCTCTCTGCCCAGTCCTGCCCTCTGCTCTTTTTTCATTGTTTCAGGCACTCTCTCCTTCCATTTCCCTTTTTCACATTGCAGATTTAAAAAAAACAAACACACACACACACACACACACACACACACACACACACACACACACACAAATCAATTGTCAGCTTACTTGGCAGTTGGATGACCGAGAGTCCCTTAAAGCTGCCTGAGCTTCCTAAGAGTCCCTTAAAGCTAAGAGATTTGAAATATTTTTTGAAAGGAAATATTGCACATGTTACTTTTCCTGGGGCTTGGGGGGAATGTGTGGTTGGTCTTCAGTCACCCAGGTGGCCAATTTAAGGATTGAGTGCATTTAAAATTCTCCAGTTTCAAGAAAGGAGTCTTCCAAGGGTCTCAGCCAACACTCAGAAAATATCTACCAATTGCTTATTTTGAGGGGTGGACTGGGGAGAGGGTTTACCTGCAAGAAAAATCAGTGGTGAAGAGTGTGGGGGAAATAGCAAAGATGGTTATATAAATAAAAAACAAAAAGACTGCGGTTATATAAATCCAGTATATAGTAAATGAAATACATGCAATATGCAAATGCAATATATGCAGTATAAAATATATAGAATGGCTGTGTAAATTAAAAGAAAAAAGACAAAGAGCACTGACTTAAGTCACCTTAAGCCACTTAACTTCTGCCACTTGGTTCAAAGTAGATAGGTCAGAGAGATGATCAGGTCTGTGTAATTCCTTTTCTGAGTTATTAGTGCTTAGGGTTAAAGGCTGTGACCTTTTTCTGTGTGTCCTTCCACTTTGGTTTCTATTATTTTTCAGAAACAAAACATTATAGTGGTTTCCAAACATTAACTAATCAGCGAATCCTATTGCCTAAGTGTTTCCCACAAAATGGAGCACTGGACCGTCACTGCAGCATATCTGGGCTTATTGTATGTGCCGAATTGACTTCTCTCTATTAACCAGCTCTTATACCTAAGTGATGATAGATGTATACATGCACACTCCAGGCTCTTTTTAGGCCAGTGCATTCATTTTTTAATCTTCACATATTTCAAGGTTTTTGGTTTTGTTTTGTTTGCGGGGATGTGTGTCTCTTTCTTTAATTTGTTTTCATTTACAAGTTTTTAAAGTATTTATCCTATCATGTCCAAATAAAGGAGACACAAATGAAATAGGCATTCAGGAACTATATACTGTACTAATAAGTTCTTCTTTATGTTTCATTATTATACTATAATCACTTACCGATGTCTTATGAACAGTTTTCACAGCATTTTTATACCCACCATTTCATATAGGTGTCAAAAAAATTCTGTGACATAGGGCAGGAGAGTAGTAGTAGGATGCTAATTTCATAGATGAGCAAACTATGGCAGGATAGATTTAATCATGTTTGCCTGGTTCCCCAGTTAGAGGGAAACTGAGGCCCACTTTTCTGGTACTGGTTGGGTGTTCTGCTGCAGGGCCCTGAATTTGCCAGTTTCTGGAATTTAAAATTGAAGAGAAGGAGTTGAGGGAAAGGGAAGAAGCAGCTCCAAAGGCTTAAGGGGAGAATGCTTTCTCTTTTGCAAAGCATTGTCAGGGAGACTGAGAGCGTGGCCTCGGGGAGACTGAGAACAGGCATCCAGGAGTGCCTGTCTCTAACAGGACTCACAGAGTGTCCTGCCCTTGAGTGAGGCTCAAGTGGTTCTCAGGCTGAAGAGGCTGGAGAGCATTTCCACAAGTCCCATCAGCATTTGTCAACAGCAGCATTTCACAGGGCTTTGTGAATTGCATGTCATTCATCTGCAATGAATGTGTAAGAAATAACAGCCAAAGGTGTTCATGTTGAAATTTATTTTCTGATCAGTTGACAAAATGTCTAATTTAGGATTTTGATGTTGTGGCTGGCCATTTGTTTTAAAAACTGAGAACACCAGGCAGGGCGTTTTATTATTTTAAATGAGTTGTGCATTTGTGTATGAGGAAGAAGGGGGATAGGGTCGAGATAGTGTGGCCAGATTCTGTCTTGAACATCTGAAAGGGAATTGGGACATAACGATGGGAGCTGCCACTCCTCAGGTTCTGCTTATGACATGCTAGCACTATCACCCCCTTCTCCTGAGGGAAACCATCTGCAGGGTTCTATGATCTCATGTCAGATGGCTCATTCTATTGTTACTCTTGCATGTTGTAGAATTCCCTTAGTTTGAGCTGAACTACCATTTAGATTCTCTATTTATTCCAGCTTGTTTGCATGACCTACTGCCCAAAGGAAAGTGAGGAGAAACAGGGGTAGCCAGTGTTTTTGTTTGTATGTTTGTTTGGGGTATTTTTTGTTTGTTTGTTTTTTTAAAAAAAATTTAGGTATGGGCATCCAGTGTTTATCAACAAATGTCATTTATTTAGTGCCTATTATTGAGCACCTACTGCATACTGCCGGGGAGTGTGCCAGGCCTGGGAATCACTGGAGACCAAAACCTCAGAGTCCATTCTCTCCTGAGCAAATGAAGTCAGATCCCAAGCTTGACCTTACAGAAGAGATGTCATTTAATTGAACTAGATAGTAGCCCTTTCTCTACCCCTTCAGTGTGAAACTCTATTTTTCTTAGACAAAGTGTCAAGTTGAAGTTCCCATAATCCCACAGACCTCTGAAACAGAGTCAATCTATTGTTTGTTTACCGAACCTGCCCCTCTTCCAGTCCTTTCTCTCTGCCCTGCCCCCCCCAACATAAAATTCACATTCACTTTTTGAATGCATAAATAAAATACACTTTTAAAAAATCTTTATTAATTATAGCCCATTAGAATATCTTTGAAATCATTTCCTGCTGTAGGATATTTCCAGCACCACCTCCTTCCTGGGGAAGCATGAAGAGTGCTGAGCTGCGTTGCCAGCTGCTCTGGTGTTGGTTGTCCAAGGATCATTAAAACACACTGAGGAGGGGCTGGCTCCGTTTGTGCTGTATTCCTTCTTCTTTTTCAGGTATTAGTAAATATTGGCAACCATTTCGATCTTGCCTCCAGTATATTTGTAGCACCAAGAAAAGGGATTTATAGCTTCAGCTTCCATGTGGTCAAAGTGTATAACAGACAGACCATCCAGGTGCGTAGCTTTGAAAATGGGATCCTTTCAGGTGTGCGTTAGTAGTTCCCCATTGCTAAAGTCCCTCTCACATGGTCTGTGTGGCTGGGGGACCCAGGGAAAGGGGCTCTCCAGGAGGGATGGTTCTGGCCTAGCTGGGAGTCCTGGCTGTTAGAACCCCTGGTTTACACTCTAAAGGAAGGGGGCAGTGGGGGTGAGGATATTGCGGGAGAAGAGAACAGTGTGTGTGAGTGGGGTCCTTTATGGTCTGCTGAGCTTTCCCCTCTGCATTTTAGGTCAGTTTAATGCAGAATGGCTACCCAGTAATCTCAGCATTTGCAGGAGACCAGGACGTTACCAGAGAAGCTGCCAGCAATGGCGTCCTGCTGCTCATGGAAAGAGAAGACAAAGTGCACCTCAAACTGGAAAGGGGCAACCTCATGGGGGGCTGGAAATACTCCACGTTCTCTGGCTTCTTGGTTTTTCCTCTATAAGCACACAGCCTCCTAGATGGTGGGGAAATTGCAATCTGGACCCAGGAATCCACCCTTCACAACACCCTGAACTTGCCAGAACAGGACAACTTGTTTCCAACCTCTGTCAGACTGTTGCAGTAGAAGAATGACTTCCTTCTAAATCTTCAGTACTTTCTTTGAATATTGACAATTCCTCGGGAACCTGGCTTCTAATTAGTTTTAGACGACAAGGTCTTAAGGAGAAATGAAATGATTGATTTGAGCAATTTGTACCTGTGATTGTAAAATCAATATCGGATTTTATTGTCGGGACCATTGACTTATCTTCTTTTGTTTGTATGTTGTATTGTTATCCCAATGGGAGGAGTACCACTGACACCGGGATGGATTGCAGGTTGCAGTCAGGGCTCAAAGAAAGAGCCCAGCAAGGAAGCACCCGCCGGACAGTCCTTGACAAGTGTTCCGTGTGTGTCTGTACAGCCTTAAGGAAAGAATGACTTCACTTTCATTCTGTATTCTGCACCCCCCAGCCCTCCCCGGGGTGGATGGGAGGACTTGGGAGGGGGATGGGGACATTGTCAACCTGTCAAGAAGTGCTTTATCCAGAGAAGCAGATTTTGCACGACTGGACAATTGGATTGCGACTTTTGTTTTGTATTGTGTTTTTTTTTTCCCCAAAAAAGCTTTACTTTTCTTTCCATGCTCAACTCTCCCTTTTCACCCCCACTTTTATTTTTCATGCTGGGGTGGGGAGAGAAAATGTATTTGAATTCATGGGTGAGACCAAATCAAACCAAACAAAAGACACCTGTATATTTTGTTTTGGATGAGACCAAACCAAACACATAGAATCTGTATATCAAAGTAAAAATAACAAATGGACGATCTGCTTATTCTTTCAAAGAGAATCTCTCAGATGCACCTTTAAAACTAGCATACTGGATTTTATTTTGCTTTTAGTTTATAATCTGGAATTCTTTAATAACCTGGCATTCTTGGGTGGGCCTGAGTCATATAAGTTGCTAGTGGAAGCTCTAATGACCAAATCCCCTGAACACACTGTTTGCCAAGTGTGCCGGTGACTTCTCAGCGGTGTGTTTTAATTTATTTGGATCTGCCTCTGAGTGAGCACACAGTGATCAGGTGCTTCAAAGACAACAGGACCAGCTCCTCTTCCTTGGGATACTCTTTTGATCTGCCAAGGGAAGGGATGTGTTGATATTCTCCTCCGTGCACCTGGCGGGAAGCCACCTGGAAGTCACAGCAGTTAAAGGTATTCGTGGAGGCACCCTAGGAGCAGTTTTACAAATCCTTCTTGTTTTTGCACCATGTACAACAATATTATTAAGATATAGCTGAGAGTTGATGGGTGTGGGATTCGTATGCCAGGGAAATGTCACTAATCCCAAAGCAATCAAAGATGAGACCTCAAATCGGATGTTAATTTTGTCCTTTGTGTAACAATGTAACCGAAATATTGATGATAAAAGTCATAATTCAAGATTCAGAATAAATGGGTTTGATGTCTGGCTTGCTCTGATCCCTCCACATTGTCTCCCAACTCAAAATGTGTGGAAGTAAATGCCTCCTGTCAAGGATTTGGGGAAGGTAAATCCATACTGTGCCTCTTTAAAAAAACACACACACAACACTTAACACCCATAGATGCAGGTCTAGGTATGGATCTGGATAGACATGACACACTTAGATACATTTTAATTTATACATATATCTTTCTCAAACAGGAAGATTTGGGGGAAGATATGTGAAAAAAGACAACATTAAGAAAGTTTTGTGAATAGGCAATATGCTTTTATCACACTCCATCTTTGATATGGTACAAGTTCCAATCAAATATTTCACTGAATACCGATATAAGAGAAACTGGCATTTGATGATAGCGTGAGTTGTTTAAAAAAACTTGTGAGAGGATGGGGAGGCATTGGATTCGATTTTCTAATAAATGCAGCGGGGTTTATAACAATGAAAAAATGTGTAACATGACTATGGGTCTAAGATTTACTGTTCTTAGATTAAGAGCATAATAGGATGAAGAATTTAATTTGAATTAAGATGCTGTTACATCTTGTGGGGAAAAAAATCAACCAGAAATTATTTGGAGTACTTTGGCTCTGTAATTAGAAGACATACTCCCAAACAAGAGCATTGTTTATTAATGTGATACCATAAATAGAAGGATAGTGGAATATGTTTTCTCTCTGCTTTATTGCTCTTAGTTATTTTAGTCCTCTTTCCCTCGTTTCTTTAACCTTATGTTCAATTTAAAACAAACAGGAAACCTCATTAGAGAGCAATATAGCACATCAGAGATTGGAAGATGTATGAGTACTTGTTATTTTTTTCACTTAATATATAATATACGTATTCATTTGTATTTATACCTTTATTACATACAGGTTGTTATTGGGTTATACTGTCTAATAAATAAGTTATTAAATTGAGCAATCTAAAAATAAGTATATTTCAGGAGTTTATTTTATGTTAGAAAAAAAGCTTTATCCTGATTACTCTCCTATCCATCTTGGTGTGTGTGTGTGTGTGTGTGTGTGTGTGTGTGTGTGTGCGTGCCCCTTGAATTGGATGCCAAAAACTACATTAGGCAGAAACCTGCTGGTAGTGTCTCTGATGTTTATCATTCACTGGAGCATCTGCCAAGGTTTGATTTGGCTAAGGATCTTTGAAGGATAAGTGTATGGTCTACAAAAATATGTAGGTCAGATCAAAATTCAAAATATATTTTCTTTTAATTGAGAAAAAAGAAAGAGACACCTGAATATTTGAAGGAAAATCTCAGTAGCCCTTCCTCTGCACCTCAGTTGTTTCGTCTATCAGGTGGGGTCAGTAACACTGCACGGTCACTTCACTTCCTAGTGAGGACCACCTCATGGTGAGCATCACCCAGGAGTGCTCTGATCATTGGAAAGCACTATGATAACGTGGGGCATTATTTGCGCAGAAGCATGTTTCCGGAAAAGCAGATTTTTTAACATGCAATTTACAAAAAAAAAAAAAAAAAAGAAAAGAAAAAAAATTTAAAATGAATGTCTGACAAGAGAACAATTTTATGTGGAAGTAAATTTTCATATTTCTCAATAGACTATTAAAATTGTAGCACTATATTGAAGTTTTGTTTAATTTGATTTTTAGGGATGATGATAATATCAAAATCTATACATTTTAATATTTACTCAATTCTCAGTTATGTTATTTGGGTATCCTATGTGTTTCAAGCTCACCTTTCTGTTCCAGTGTGTAATAGCAAAGTTTTAAAAAATATACACCTATAGCATTTTTAACACAAGTAAAAAATGGGGTACTAATATTATGGCACTGTAATAGTGAGTTGCTGTAGTTGATAAACATTAGTCCTACTAAATTGCAAATGCTTTTAAAGCAATGCCTTTTGTTTTTTAACCTAAAATATATTCTAATTTGCAATACAACCATTATGATTCAACTCTAGGTCCTGAGAAACTGTTTACCATCTGTAATTCCTGAGCCTTTTTTTGCATCCTAATATTTTTTATGTGTTCATGTATAAGTGAAATTATCTACATTGTCTGAGTGTGTGCTTACTATGGCTGCTTAGAGTAGAAGTGATAAAAGCCTATTTAATAATAGCATGAAAACTCATGAAATCCTGTAGAGATTACATAGATTTACTTGTTTGAAAAAAAAAATTAGCTATACCCAGTTATACTGAACATCAGAAAAATTAGAAAAAATATATAAAACAAAACCTTGCTGATTCTTTAATTTTATTGTAGTATTTTCTTGATATCAAGGACATTACAATGGTTTGCCTGTAAATACATTAACATATACACCGGATTTTTTTACATAGTAATATAAAATACATGAATTGTCCACATTCTCCTGGAATCTAGGAATATGTGAGAGGAAAACTTGATGAATCATTTTATACAAGCAAAACAAAAGCGGGGGTTACTCCAGCATGCTTCGGATGTAGCAAAAGGAGCAAAGAATATTCTGTCAATTTGTGTGACCATAATTTTACAATCTTTTATAAGCAAACAAATGTTGCAATAAGATGATCTTGCTTTGAATAAAATAGTTAATGTTGTTTATATTTCTACAGCATAAGAAGTATATAATAACCTAATGTATATATGCACATGAATGAATGACTCTTTTACATTATGTTCAAGATGGTGTAAATAAATGTAAAACTCATAGAAGCAGGTTAATTTAATCACTCTAAAGGGTTTACTTTACTCTGTAAAGACACTTGTAAAAATGTAGAAAGAAATTAACTGTAGAACTACAACGAGTTCTGTCTTTTGCCTTGCTTATGTGGAAATTTACTTGTCAGTGGGATTCCCTTTCTAAAGCTGCCACTTTGCTACTAAAATGGGATATTATAAACACATTTTAAAATTTAAGATCAAAGCCTATAAATTCTCATGAGACTCTTAAAATTACCCTTTTTTGGCATTTAAAGAACAAGCACACCAATTATACTGAAGTAAGTTAAAATACAGTTTCCATTTTGGGTTTATCCTTTTACTCTTTGTGCTCTGTATCTTTTTTCTATGATACAGTGTGAATAAGTTAGCTGCTGATGGCCACAATCATTAGTCAAGTCTATTTGTGTATTTGCCCAGCATTTTAAAACATACTTTTTGTAGATATAATTCAGCAAAAAGCACTTTTACTGCCTTTGCAGATTGAGGGCTACAATTCATTTTTTTTAAAAAAATATTTTAAACATTGCTGTACATAACTACCCATGATATGATTGGACAGATCTAAGCGTCACATCCACTGTCCCCCCAAAAGAAAAAAAAATGCCAAAAGCTCTTTTAAAAGCTTAAATGAACATAAGCGATTTTTAAGTTAGCCTGTATGTGAGTCAGTTTAACAATGTTATACCAAAACACGAATCTTAAATAAATACATTTTTCTTACATTCCCAAACCCAGTAGGATAACTTGAAATTTGTAAGGGCAAAAGCCAGGTGATTTTACCTCCTACATATAATAGGTGTTTTGTTTTATCTTCCTAAGTAGGTTTTGCTGTGGATTTCCATCACCAGAATCACTCGTGTCTATAGCATCATAAATCATCATCTTGGCCATTTCACCCACGTACACTCATTGTGTAGTGTAAATGAGCTCCTTGACAACTTAATTTGGAAAAGAAATCTTCATTCCCTCTGCTTAGTGCCTTCAGCAGGGCTCCCTGGGGTTAGAAAGCTGTGTTGCACTGGAGTTGTCCTAACAAAATGGAAGTTGCTTCCTCGTGAGCCAGGACCAGTCTTGAAATCTGACATTCTTCAGGAATGCTGATTTCTCCTTTGAATTTATATATTGTTTTATTTATGTTAAAACATTGAATTAGAGAATGTTGACAACACTGTGGAATGTGGAATTCCTGAGTATTTTGCTTTTCTGTTTGATCTAACCTTATTCATTTAGAAATACTCTTATCAATCTCTTATGCTTTCAAAATCCCCTAGAATATAGATCATCCTAATATTTCCTTGACTTTACACTAAAAGTGAACACTATTGAGATTTTGGGTGCAAAGTTATTATGGAACTGACTTACAAATAATATAATAAAATGAATATCTAAAATAAATTTGGTAAATTTTGGCAAATTCCCCGTTACTAAAATCCCTCATTTGCAATATTTTTACACAGATCTTAAAGATTCCTGCCAGCCTTAAAAGTATATTATTCTATGAAACATTTATCTTTGAATTGCTAGCTTCATTTATCATCATATAACTATTAGATCAGAAATAGTATACTTCTAGATAGTAGTCTGTCACTGAAAAACAAATTTAGGACATGAAAATGTGATACTGTCATCTTGTCATATTCCCAGGCATCATGTTAGGGTGTCATAGTATGGTTTTTGTTCTGGAATTGTAAACTGTCAGTGGAATAAAGCAATTATGTTACTTATAAAAAATGATCTTTTAGGAGCAGGGTGTAGTATTTCCTTTTCATTCCATAGCATTTATGTATTGCAGCCTAGGGGCCACACTGTGTGCTTAGGGATGATGACAGAATAATAAAGATACACTCATTGTGCACCAAGAGATTATAGTCCTTGTTAAAAAATAGTGTTCAAGACTAGCCTGGACGATATTCAGTTAAACTCATGGTGAGGGGGTGGGCTGAGGCGGGTGTGGGAGAAACCTTAGAAATTTGAATGCATATTTACTACTGTGAACAGTGTACCAACATTTTCACATATGAAGAGAATGTTAATTTGGTATTGACATTAAATACTGAACATCAGTTGATTTCTCAACTAAAAGGTCCAGATACAGGGAATTTTCATTGTTTCAACACATGGAGGTTGAAACAATGAAAACTATGATATCCCTTTTTACAGTTTCATTATTTCTTATGGCCTTCTATGTAGTGAGTTCTTGGGGAGACAGAAGGCATGCCCGAATTAGTCAAATCTTTAGAAGATAGACAAGTAACAAGGTACAAATGGGGCATGATTCAAACTCTATCTCACAGAACTGAAGGGCAGACCCACCGTAGCACGTTGGCAATTTTTACAACGTTATTAACTTAATGGATAAAGATCTGACAAGAAGAAACAAAAGATAAATGTGAAACTAAATGGCACAGGTACAAAACATGAATTGTGTGTGTTTTATTTGTGTAATCACATGCATGTCTGTGTGTGTGTGTGTGTGTGTGTGTGTGTTTGAATATAAAGAAATATTTACATTCAACATTTACCCACTGTTAAAATGCCTTTTCTGTACCTCGAGCTGTGTCCTCACCAAAAACTTGCCTTCAACAGGTGAAGGTATGATGGGCCCAGGTGCCTTTGCTTGGGTACATGGATTGATTTCTACTAAGTTACCTCAATTATTTGATATAAGTTTCACATTTTACTTTTTGAATTCAATCTTAGCATTTTACTTCTCCAGAAGGTAGAAATTACATCTGGTCTCCCTGAAAGACAGAGATTGAGAACTGTTGAGAATAATTAGGCCATCTGGTGTTATAAATCCAATAGAAAGTTATGATCAGTGGATCACGGCCTAATCTGGTCTCCATCCACTGCATCTGAATTACCTTGGCACAAAAGAATGATAGGGGGCTGGATTTTTAAAGGAGATTGCCATATCTCCCCAGTCATTAGCAGGCAAAAGGCTTGTATGCATCAGACTGTGATAATTAGGGAAGACTTATTCTCCCCTAAGGCCTATTATTTTTTGATACTTATTTTTTTAACGTCTCAAAATGCACACTGCACCAAACAGTGAAGTCATACAATTTCAAATTATGATTCCCACCAATTTCTGAGTATGTTCATTCGAAGAAATTATTTACTAAAATAATCTTTTCTTTTGATCTTAATGGGGAATTGAAATGTACCTAAATTTATTTTGTTATATTTTCTTTCAGAATTGCAGAAACATTTGTGTCAAGGAAAAAACTCCCCAATAGATGGTGCTGGTGCTGTGATTTAAACCATTGAGTAATTAGTATGCAAAAAAGTTCCAGAGGGAAGCCTCTGGGAATTCCCTTACATCAAGTTATAGAAAGACAAAAATGTGGCATTATTTTTGATAAATGCAAATTGTTATAATTGTATAATTTGAAAACTTCAGAAAGATTTCTTGATGTTTTCAGGTCAAGAAATTACTTCTCATCTCTATTGTTCATATCTCAAACATCTTTGAAACATAAATGCAAACAAAATTGAGTGCTACAGAAGGACAAGCTGAATGGGTTCTGAGTTAGAAAACTCATAGTTTTCCCCCCTATAGTGCTCTGAGGCT